TTGAGGTCAAGACAATTTGGATTGAGGCCAGGATGCGGATGCACGGTGCGTACGATTGCCAGCGTCAGTTTGCGAATGGCCCCCGAGGCATGGCGAGAACTTCCTTCTCGCGAGGTCCTGTGCACGGAGTAACCTCATATGTGACGTCACGCGTTGGGAGGGAGTCAGGCTGCAGTGACACCACATATCTTCTTAAGTAGAGTCAGTAGACATTTTTGTGTTGTAATCAAAACTTGGACTTCTATAGTTTATCGTTACTTCGTTCTGAGTCAAGTATAGAACCTTTTTTGAATGGCCTACGTTAGACTGACCTGCTTATGAGTCATGATACAGACCAGTGAATTTTCTCAAACTGTCAACAAACGTCAAAACCGGCAGAAAAGGGAAAGATTGTTGGACAATCTGGTCCGTCAGCGATACCACAACCTCGTACCGATGGGACCTTAGGTTTGATTTCTAATCAGTTGTCCACTGGGTTTTCATTCAATGTCTATAGCACTTCAGTCGCATATTTGATGTCTATCCAGACGTCCGGAGAAATTTTGGAATGAAGGCTACATCGATGTGAGCCATTTGCTCGGGATCGGGATGCGACCACCTCCAATGTTGTGGACGCATAATTGTTCATAACTTGCTTTCTTTGTTCTAAGCGGAACAATGATAAGATCCATCTTCTGTTATCCTGATCCAACCTCAGACCGGCTGCACCTAGGATTGAACATCGAGATATTCCTTCAGACACAACTGAAAGAAAATGTTCCATCACTAGGCTATAGTTCTACGCTCATCATTAAATGCGTTTGGAAAGTTTGACTTTATTTGGAGTGTCTTTTTGGGTTTCCCGATCTGGCATCCCAGTATGTCCGACAAATAATGTCAGTAAAAACAGAAATGGTGATTACCAGCCCCTCGTCGTTATCACTATACAATTTTCAATTTAGAATGTACAGCCATTTGTTGGGGATTCTGGCCCGAATCCCCAGTGCATGCTAAATTTGGGATGACATATGGTATGCTCTAGTTCGATTGTCGAATGCTAATTGCAAGTGAGCTAACTTCCCGGTAAATGTTTTCGAGTTAAGACAAATCTTAGTTCAACAGAAACGATATAAAGCGCCATCGACAGATAGTGGCGCATAAGTTAGAGGGAGGGGCGTTTTTAGAGAAGGACAAGAGCATCTTAAATTGTTCCTATCGAACTCATAAACAAAAGAGGTCACTACTACTAAGTCCAAAATTCAACCCTCCTGACCATCAACAGATAGTTGGCGTTATTTCACGTACATTTTATGAACATTCATGAAATTTGCTCCAACGTACTGTACATCAAAATCGATACTAAACTGTGTATTTGAAAACAGAGGCTCATGCATGACCTTTTAAAAAATTATTTACCGATGAAAAACGGTATTTATTGGAAAGAATGAATATAAACTGTTTTCGGTGGTTTGGTTTTAGTCAGGGCGGCTGTATCCCGCATATCTACCCGGAGCATCTAATGGAGTACACTGACTACGTCGACTGGATTAAATTCGACCGGCCAGGTGCCCCAACCAGCCAGTTAGAACTTTTGGCAACAACCTTCACTGCCGAGAAAATTAAGTCAAGCGATGGGCTGCCTGACGGAACATTTACCTTCTCACCAGCGGCTTCCGCGAGGATTGAGGGCGGGAAGCAGCGGATGCGACTACAATATGATCCGCTGCCAGAACTCACGAGGGAGGAATTTGAGCCAGTGTCTAGCAGAGCATGGACCGATCTCATGCTACAAGTGATAAAGGTGAATTTTATTCTAATAAAAGCCTTATTCATCTTTCAGGTGACATCAGCATTGCTGGATGTTCTTTGCGGTACTACGACATGAACTATGTTAATACAGATTGGCTGCTTATTCCATTTAGGTAGCCTTAAACATATTAGAACTTTGAAGCATGCTGTTCCCGGAGAGAACTTGAAGATGGTTATGACTGTAAGATTTAATGGTACCATAAATTTCGAGAGAGCTCCTCAGTTACAACCCCTCTTTGCATTAAGGTCCACGAATGAGAAAAACACGAAATTGAAAATGTACAGAAAGGTCATAGGCCCTAGTCAGATAGAGAAAGAAGGTTTAAACAAAATTGGAGGGAGAAAACAGGGAATTGAGTTGTGAAGAATATTGGGCTGGGGAATA